TCCCTGTAAATGTTCATTAAATCTAATAAAATTTAATAATAATAAAAAAGAGTTGCAAATAGAGATACCATTTGACCCAGCAATTCCACTACTGGGAATAGACCCCCAAAGAGACCATAACTGACATCCAAGCAGATATATGCACATCCATGTTTATTGCGGCTTTGTTCACAATAGCCAGGAGTTGGAAACAACCTAAGTGCCCATCAACAAATGAATGGATAGAGAAGCTGTGGTGTATTCACACAATGGAAAACTATGCTGCATTGAAAAACAAAGAACTCTTGTAATAGTCAAACTGGGTGACCCTGGAGGACATTATGCTTAGTGAAGTATCCCAGTCACAAAAGGACAAATATTGCATGGTGCCACTATTGTAAAACAGGACTGACATCAGGGTTGCAGGGAGACTGAGAAAGATGGGTTCAATAATGTATACTGCATTGAAACAAATGAGGGAGAAAACTGTTTAAAAGGGATACGTGATTAGGCATTTTGGTCATGATAGGAGTCCAGAGCGAAGAAGACTGCGTAGTGGTGTGGACCTGGGGGTAGGGTCGTAGAACAAGGAAAGAATTTTTCTTTTACTTTTCCAAGAGGGTAGTAGGGTACTACTAGGGGGAGGTTAGTATACTAGGGGGGAGGGTTGGGAGAGCAGAAGAGTGCAACAATGGATGAATGGAAATCCAAAGTTTCTGTAAATTTTCATTGAAATTAATATTCATTTTTTTAAAAAAGAAAAGGAACACAACTCAAATAAGAAAGGACAGAAGTGACATTACCACAGAACCAGTTGAAATTAAGTCGGTAATATCAGATTATGAAGCTATAGTTTGATAAATTTGAAAGTGGAAGTGGACAAATTCTGTGACACTCATACACTACCTGTATTGACATGAAAATGTAGAACCCTTGAAAAGACCTATCATAAAAGATATGGAGCAGGCCATTAAAATTGCTCCCTAAAAGACTTCCTGGGCCAGGTGGCTTCATGGCTGAATTCTACCAAATATTCAGAGATTTATGATTAATTCTCAGAAAATCAAAGGGGCTGAACTTGCTTAGCATTTCTTAAGGTCAAGGAACTGAAGAACAAATTCAAACCTCGAGTTGTTATAATCAAGGATGCTTTAGGCAGAATATTAAATGATCCATTAAGTATTAAAAGAAGATGAAAAGAATCCACTGAGTCACTGTATCAAAAAGAATTGGCAGACACAGAAGAATTTAATGAAACAACATATGAGCAAGAGCCTATGGTGATGAAGGAAGAAGTCCAGGCTGCTTTGAAGGAGATAGCAAAAAAAAAAAAATAAGGCCCCAGGAATAGATGATGTATCAATTGACATATTTAAGCTAACAGATGCTGCCCTCGACATTCTCACCAGGTTGTGCCAAGAAATCTGGAGAACCACTTAGCCAATTGACTGGAAGAGATCTATATTTGTTCTCATCCCAAAGAAGGGTGACCCAATAGAGTGTGGAAACTATAGAACAATCATTGATTTCACATGCAAGCCAGATTCTGCTGAAGATTATCCAAAAACGACTGGAACAGCACATCAGCAGAGAACTGCCAGAAGTCCAGGCTGGGTTTAGAAGGGGTCGTGGTACTAGGGATATTGTAGCTGATGTTAGATGGATCTTAGCTGAAAGCAGGAATATCAGATGGATCTTAGCTGAAAGCAGGAATATCAGAGGAATGTATATCTCTGTTTCATTGACTATGCAAAGGCGTTTGACTGTGTAGATCATAACAAACTGTGGCTGACTCTGAGAAGAATGGGAATCCCAGAACACTTGATCATGGAATGCAAAATCTACACTTGGACCAAGAACAGAGCAAGGAAACACTGCATGGTTCAAAATTGGGAAGGGCGTAGGCCAGGGATGTGTCCTGTCTCCATACCTTTTCAACCTGTATACAGAACAGATTAACCAGGAGGCTGGGCTCTATGAGGAGAATGGTGGGGTCAAGATTGGTGAAAGGTCTATTAAAAATCTGCGTTATGCAGATGATACAACCCTGCTTGCTGAAACGAGGAAGACCTCATGCACTTGTTGCACAGGGTCAAGGATTGTAGCCTCCAATATGGATTGATGCTCAATGTCAAGAAAACAAAGATTCTCACAATTGGACCAATTAATTGTCAGCATCAGCATAGATGGTGAAGAGACGGAGACTGTTCACAGCTTTAGTTTGCTTGGCTCCACAGTCAACACTCTTGGCACCAGTAGCCAGGAAATTAAAAGGCACATTGCCATGGGAAAGTCTGCTGCTAGGGACCTCTCCAAAGTTCTGAAGAGCAATGGTGTCTCTCTGGAGACTAAGCTGCGTCTGATACAGGCCATGGTCTTTACAATCACTTGTTATGCATCAGAGAGTTGGTCAATGACTAAGGAGGATAGAATGAGAATTAATGCCTTTGAGCTGTGGTCCTGGAGAGGAGTATTGAATGTACCATGGACTGCTAAGAAAACAAAGATTCATACTTGTAAGGGTTAGACCAGGCGGCTCCTTGGAGGCAAGGATTCTGAGGCTTCGTCTAACATACTTTGGACATGTTGTAAGGAGAGGCTGATCCTTGGAGAGGGACATCATGCTTGGGAGGGTGGAGGGACAGCGCAGGAGGGGAAGACCCTCTATGAGGTAGACTGATTGAATGACTGGGGTAATCGGTATGGGTGTGTCAGAAACAGTGTGATTGGCACAGGATAGAGCAGTTTAGTGCTTTTGTACATAGGGTTGCTATGAGTCGCAAGTAAGTCGATGGCACATAATAACAACAACAAATATTTAAAAAAATAGAATAAGAAAGACCACTTTCAAAGTTATTCTATGATGCAAGCATAATTCTTTAGTAAAAGGCGAAAGATTTATACAATCTGAAGAGAAACCAGAGTATGCAAGCATAATTCTTAATACTCAAACAAGGCAAAGATATCACCAAAAAGAAAACTATGGACCAATATTTTTCACGAATATAGGTGCAAAAATGTTTAAAGAAATCATAGCCCAAAAAAATCCAATAGCACATAAAAAAAAAAAATTCATCGTGACCAAGGGGGATTTATGAAAGGTATGTAAGGATGGTTTAAGATAAAAAAAAAAGTTAACATAATTAATCACAATAACAAGAACCATATGAACCTATCAATGGATGCAGAAATGGCCTTTGACAAAATTCAACATGCCCTCCTAATAAAAACACTCAGCAAAATAGAATAAAAGGGAATTTCCTCAACATATTGTTATTTGCCATCAACTTGCCTTGACTCATAGAGATCTTATGTACATTAGCTCTGAATGCTGCCCTATCCTGAGCCAGTCTCATCGTCTCCAACACACCTAATCCATTTCTCCAGTCACTGAGTCAATCCATCTTATCCTAGGTTATCACATCCTCTCCTGTATTGTCCCTCCACCCTTCCAAATATGATGTCCTTCTCCAAGGACTGGTCCCTCCTGCTATATACACAAAGTGTAGGAGATGGAGTTTCAAAATCCTTGCTTCCAAGAAGCAGCTTGATTTAACCCTCTCTAGGACTGATCTGCTTTTCACCCCCAGCGGTCAACAGTATA